ACGTTTGTATTTTATGCCACCATGTCTTTATATGTCGTTGCCTATGTTGTTCGTGCCAGTTTCAATGTTATTTTTCCGGTTCGTTTCTTTACGACCGTCATGAGCTGTGAATCCGTAATGAGCCCATATTGATTCAGCCCTTGATGAATAGGACCCAGTTGAGAAAAGAGAAAACACTGGGTGTAAGTTAAGGAGGCCGGTCTGTTGTATGAAGTAGACTATATCACTCACAGAGTGCGGACTGGTCGTGAATAAAAAGGGTTTAGAACTATGTGATCAAACGACAGTATTGGTAAAAATGTTTTTCACTCACATTGTATTATCCACAACAGAACTTAACACGTCTGGCATAGCCGTAAATGCTCCGTCTCCCTAGCAAAGGTCTTAAGTTCAGAAGCTAACTTTCCGTAGCACACAAATTATACAAGGTCTGACAATTGAGTAATGAGACTAATTTCATAACAATTAAAATAATAAACAGTTGAAGATATAACCTGTATTTTATTCAATGTAGGCCCTTTGTGCACGATCTAACAAACACTGGAATTAACTCTCTAGATCTTCTTTTGTTATTGCCCTAAAAGTCGATGTTACGGCCCTTTGGATGTCGTCAAAGAAGCGTCCTTTTACTGGTAACTTTAATTTTGGGAATAGAAAATAATCACAGGGAGACAAATCTGGGGTGTAGGGTGGATGAACAAACACTATTGTTTTTCAGCCAAAAATTCCTGTAAAACTACCGCCTTTTGAGCCGATGCATTGTCGCGAAGAAGAAACAAATTGCCAGGTGTTGAATACAAACCGGCTAGCAAATTTTCTGTGTGTATGCCTAAATCTTCCATAAAAATTTTACGAATAGGCTCTGTATAAACACCAAATTCATCTACCATTATCCTCACAGTCGAACAACAATCTTCTATAATCCATTCTCAGAATTTTGCAAAACTATTCCTTACGTCCTTCTTAGGACGTTATTTTTTGTTATTTGAAGCCCCACTCTGGCTTTTGCCAGGGGCCGCAATATAGGCAGGTCATCATTATGGCCAAATGTCTGAACGCGGTTTCTGGGACCTCTCCATGGTGATCCTCATCCGCATGGTGGCACTTTGTGTCATCGGGTGTTTATCGCTTGTGTGATGTCCCGATGGGGTAGAAAGTCAGTCAGTCAGTCAGAATTTTGCAATGAGTTCCTCATTACGAACAGAAATTGGGCGTCAATGTCTAGTTGCTTTAGTAATAATTTCTACACCACTTTTGAATCGTGATTACCAGCTGAGAATTTGTGCATGAGATAAACAATTATCCCCATAAACTTGTCGTATCAGTTCAACTGTTGCAATGGCGCTTTTTCTGAGGTTTGATCAGCATTTAATGTTATCTTTGTTTTAAGCACCATACTGATTACGTAACAATGCCCCTCTGACTAGGTTAACACATGGCTGCTTGTTTGTTGTCTGCTTATCGGGTTTCGATGAAAAGTTGCCAGATCTTAGACGAAGGTTGCCTCGTTGGATTCCATGGTGTGATTCATAAATAATAAAATCAGTTTTATTACTTAAATGTTGGATCTTGTAACACACATCGTTCTCGTCCTAGAAAGATCGACTTCGTTCATACATTCTTACACGTGTTATTTCATCTGATGCCATGTTTTCTACCACCATTCATTCATATATGGTCTTTAGAATATCTCTTTTGTCCATTAGAGTGACCAAGAAAAAAGATGCTGGACATTTTGGTGTCGGGGCATGGAAGAAAAAAAATCTTTATCAGAAATGAAAATGAGACAGAAGGATATGGAAAAAGACATGACTACCAACGCGAAATGGCATAGACTATGAGAGGAAAAACTTGAAAATCACAAATGAGCTCAATTCTGAACCTCACTAATTGATATAACAGTATCTATCGCTTTCTAATTTATTTCATGTAGTATGGAAGAATATAGGGGACACAGCATAAAACTACATTGAATAGGAACATAAAAAAATATGAGAAAACAGTTTGGCAGAACATAACAAGTGCGAAAATGTAAGTACAATATATATTTTAAAAAATTTAATAAAAATGCTATTAGGATATTTCTGAACTTTGAAAATTGTTATAAAAAGACCCCAATTATTTCAAGGAGTACAGAAAGGCAGATTTTTTTTTAAATCCTACAGCATACGCTGTAAAACATCACAGAGAGGATTTAAGCTGCAGCTTGCTATCTTCTGCTAGTTGCGTAGCTTTCGTTAAAGTCATGCTACATCTCTGTAGTGTCTCTTTTACACCCTCCATCCATAACTTTCTTAGTAAGTCTCGTGTTTTTTAACCTACTGTTCTAATATAGTACAATCTAGCTGCTGGCGGATACAGCCAGATTACTGTTTAGAATCAGAGACCTGGTAGGTAATAATACAAACAGACTGTGAAAGCAAGACCTTAATTATAATTAACTGAAAAGCAGAGACTAAAGACTGCGAAAGCAAGACCTTAATTAAAATTAACTGAAAAGCAGAGACTAAAGACTGTGAAAGCAACACACCAATTAGAATTAACTGAATAGCAGAGACTAAAGACTGTAAGAGCAAGACCTTAATTAGAATTAACTGAAAAGCAGAGACTAAAGACTGTGAAAGCAAGACCTTAATTATAATTAACTGAAAAGCAGAGACTAAAGACTGCGAAAGCAAGACCTTAATTAAAATTAACTGAAAAGCAGAGACTAAAGACTGTGAAAGCAAGACCTTAATTAGAATTAACTGAAAAGCAGAGACTAAAGACTTCAAAAGCAAGACCTTAATTAGAATTAACTGAAAAACAGAGACTAAAGACTGCGAAAGGAAGACCTTAATTAGAACTAACTGAAAAGCAGAGACTAAAGACTGCGAAAGCAAGACCTTAATTAGAACTAACTGAAAAGCAGAGACTAGAGACTGCGAAAGCAAGACCTTAATTAGAATTAACTGAAAAGCAGAGACTAAAGACTGCGAAAGCAAGACCTTAATTAGAATTAACTGAAAAGCAGACTAAAGACTGTGAAAGCAAGACCTTAATTAGAATTAACTGAAAAGCAGACAAGCAAATGGTTCGGTCATCTTGTAGAATGGAGAGCTCCCGTGATGTTGCGGCTAGACGGTCGCTTGCGGATCAGAAGGTCATGGGTTCGAGTCCTTATAGTGCTAAACTTCTTTCAAAGATGCCCTTTTGCTCCCAGATCGACCCAGCTTTTAGTGGGTACCCGGTATAGTTTTGGGATGTAAAGGCGGCCTTTGTAATACTGACCATATTATACACAGAGTACTAATTGATCTATAAACTTTAAATCCAGCCATATAAGCCTAAAATGCCCCCATATACTTGAAATTGTTAAAAATTACTCTTAGCTTTTTTTAGATCTTGCTAGAATTGTTGTCGGCTCTGTGGCTAAGTCGATGCAAACGCTTCGTAATGCCGGGATGCCGGGTTCGATCACAGCTGCGGACCATGCGCCTTGCGTTGGTTTCGACAGTGGTATTAAGAAAGCAGACCGCCCAGCATGGCTAACTACTGGACGTAAATTAGCCTAGAAAAACCACACAACAGCCGGAAGCTGTTAGGGTTGGTTCTGCAACGTCCTTTAAAGGATACGCAACTGACCTAGAATTGTTAGTATATAGCCACAACTCGCAACAGACAATACACCTTACACGAGCCCAAGAACAAGCAGAAAGACTAACAGAGGGACAATGGACTGAGAGCATGAAAAAACATTTTACATTCACACAAAAATGACAAACAAGAACAGGTAGGCTGAGTGTCTGGTTCTGCACGTGTGGTTAGTGAATTTATGCATGACAAAACCAAATGTGGTCAAGGCCCTTTGGAAACATGTGAACAGTGCATCCCCACGAATGATGGTCTAGAAAGATTTGTACAGCTGCGAGTGACCATGGATATCTTGTCGACACTCAACACCATTCAAAGAAAATGTAAGACGGACATCTAATAAGATAGCAACTGGTAACATCTGAACTGGAATTCCTCGCTGGCTGCTGAAGATGAGGACAGAGAGCTTATGAGAATATTCCATGTGCTGTGCGCAACAGTCAACAGAATGACAGTGACTAGTATTATCCACCGAACACTGGTCGACAAGCTGTTTCGGTGCTTTATTTTTAGCAAATGACGTCATGGGTCTGTCCAATATTTTAGAGAATGGTAAGAGCGGGTTTTTCGTGTTTTCTGTGCTTTTCTCGCGTTTACTTAACACTACTCTTAACCCTAACCCTAACCTTAACCCTAACCTTAACCCTAACCTTAACCCTAACCTTAACTCTAACCTTAACCCTAACCTTAACCCTAACCTCAACCCTAACCTTAAACCTAACCTTAACCCTAACCTTAAACCTAACCTTAACCCTAACCTTAACCCTAACCTTAACCCTAACCTTAACCCTTACCTTAACCTTAACCTTAACCCTAACCTTAACCTTAACCTTAACCTTAACCCTAACCTTAACCTTAACCTTAACCCTAACCTTAACCCTAAACAAAACTTTCGCTTAATCTACCACCCCCTGAAATATTTGACGGTTCCGTGACTTGTTGATTTTCCCTGTTGATGGTTGGCTACTAAGAAAGTACCGCTGTTTCTCCCCACTACTCTTCAGTGCAGAAATGGAAGATGATAATAATGATGATGATGATAGTGATTACAGTAAAGTAGTAAAGAGCCTTTCTCCCGTCTTTGATGTAGCGGGTATGTAACGTTAGACATATATATTTGTATAGACTTGTGGGAACGCGATAGGTGACGTAGTCGACATCACACCGGCCACCTTTCCTTCCAGGAACATTTCCTTGTACCTATTTTAGCCTTGGTCGACTTGAGGGGTCAGAGTCAATTATTATTGAAACTATTCAGCTTGATGCCAGTTTTAACTCTTAACCTTCGAACCGATGATAATTTTTGAAACAAATTTAAAACAAGCTGATAACATAGCATAAAGCTGAAGGTTACAGTCTAGAGTATTGACTTCATTGCATAGGGTTTTATCCCATATGGATCGGTTTCTCTCTGCAGAACAGCTAGCCGACTGCCTAGATCATCGCACAAAGCACTAACTTCGTAGTTCCGGCGACGATCCCCATGGATCACAATACAAATTGCATTCGTGACAAACGACGCAGCGGAGAAGCGAACTCACGACATTCAGAGGGCGAGGAAAACAGATTGACCACTTCGCCATGGAGACTAGGTGATAAAGTAAAAGTAAAGTAGGACCCCTTTTCACGCCTTCTAGCGTACTAGGCACATAGGGCTGGATATATACAGACCAATCGGCACTCGGTGGGTGACGTGGACAACTGAAGTTTGCGGTGACCTGGGTGCCTAGGTCATTTTTTGAGAAATGCCTAGCTCCATCAAGACCTGAACCCACGACCTCCCGATTCGCAGGCGACCGTCTAGTCGTTACAACGCTGTTGCTCCGTAGCATGTAACGAATCAGAAGAGAAAAAAAAAGTAAGGTGTTCAAATTGCGTGCCATGGAGTGCTTATTTGGAGAGACATAAACAAATAATTAGAACATACAAATGCAGAACACGGACTGAATTGTTTCCGGTATTGATCCTAGCCAATCACAAGAAACATGCTCCTTGTTTCTTGGGGGCAGAAAAGTGTTTCTGTGACGATGTAAAAAATGAATGTGTTCTTTTTGATTGCCATATTTTGATGCATTGCTGTTGGAGAGGAAAGGAAGTTTGCAAAGCAACTATTCTTATACAAGTTGTTGAAGGAGAAAACGGGAGGAGTCGGGGGGAAAAAAAGGGGGGGGGGGATATATATAAATATAACTAGGAGTCAAAGTTCTTTAATCATGTGATGACAAAAGTAGCGCTGGAAAATATCGTGGCGACTAGACAGATGACTGGTAGAAGAGGCAGAGGCAGACCAATAGAAATTATAGTGGGTGGTTTAAGACATTGGGAAAGAGGAATATCATTAGCAGAATTGATCCAAAACACCAAAGACCGAGATCTATGGCAACGCATGAACACATAGGCCCTCTGGCAAGGCACTTGATGATGATGATGATGATGATGATAGTGATGATGATGATGATGATGATGATGATGAGGAGGAGGAGGAGGAGGAGGAGGAGGAGAGGAGGAGGAGGGACTAGGTTTCGGTCAGTTTAGGTCCCTAAGCTTAAAAACGAGGCTGGAAGTGTGTGGGTATCTGACTTCCCAGAGCCATGTTTTCTTTGCGTTGGTGCTCTGCTTAGAGACTTTTGGTGGGTAGTACTATCACAAGATACGTAAATGAAAGTGCCAGAAGTTGCGTATCTTTAATAGGACATTGCAGAACCAACCCCAGCCTTGTTTGGCTGTTGGGATTATCGCTAGGATATTTTATGCTCGGTAGTTTGCCATTTGTCTTGGCTTATGTGATGAGAAGGAGAAAACTGGAGTATATTGTCATGAGAAGGAGAAAACTGGAGTATATTGTCATGAGAAGGAGAAAACTGGAGTACATTGTCATGAGAAGGAAAAAACTGGAGTACATTGTCATGAAAAGGAAAAAACTGGAGTACATTGTCATGAGAAGGAGAAAACTGGAGTATATTGTCATGAGAAGGAGAAAACTGGAGTATATTGTCATGAGAAGGAAAAAACTGAAGTACATTGTCATGAAAAGGAGAAAACTGGAGTACATTGTGATGAGAAGGAAAAAACTGGAGTACATTGTGATGAGAAGGAAAAAACTGGAGTACAGTGTGATGAGAAGGAGAAAACTGGAGTATATTGTCATGAAAAGGAGAAAACTGGAGTACATTGTGATGAGAAGGAAAAAACTGGAGTACATTGTGATGAGAAGGAAAAAACTGGAGTACAGTGTGATGAGAAGGAGAAAACTGGAGTACATGGTGATAAGAAGGAGAAAACTGGAGTACATTGTGATGAGAAGGAGAAAACTGGAGTACATTGTGATGAGAAGGAAAAAACTGGAGTACATTGTGATGAGAAGGAGAAAACTGGAGTACATTGTGAGAAGAAGGAGAAAACTGGAGTACATCGTCATGAAAAGGATAAAACTGGAGTACATCGTCATGAGAAGGATAAAACTGAAGTACATTGTGATGAGAAGGAGAAGACTGGGGTGTATTGTGATGAAAAGGAGAAAACTGGAGTACATCGTGATGAGAAGGAAAAGCTGAAGTGCATCGTGAGAAGGAGGATAAAACTGGAGTACATTGTGATGAGAAGGAGAAAACTGGAGTACATTGTGATGAGAAGGAGAAAACTGGAGTACATTGTGATGAGGAGGAAAAACTGGAGTACATTGTGATGAGAAGGAAAAGCTGAAGTGCATCGTGAGAAGGAGGATAAAACTGGAGTACATTGTGATGAGAAGGAGAAAACTGGAGTACATTGTGATGAGAAGGAGAAAACTGGAGTACATGGTGATAAGAAGGAGAAAACTGGAGTACATTGTGATGAGAAGGAGAAAACAGAGTACATTGTAACAGTATGAAAGCGGGATGGAAGGAGAGGCAAAGGAAGACCGAGAAAAATAATGCTGGATAGTTTGACTTCATGGCATGGAGGACGATCTTTCAGTGAAACAGAAGGTTGTGGATTGACAAGACTACCAACGCCACACGGCATTGACTTTGAGCAAAAGATTACCATTTATCTTAGATTTTCCGGCTACATTAAATGACATAATATTCTTTTGAAAACCATACTCGAGGAAAAGGTCGAGGGCAAGAGGTAGACACCGATACAAGTAGAAGGACAACATCAAGAGATGGACAAACAGCAGTCTGAGAGAATGTGCAGCCAGGACAAGAGATAGAGCGTGTTGGAAATACATTGCAGTCAATCTTCTTTGAAGAGACGGCACCTGATTGAGTTTGCCATTGTCTACAAAACGGTCGACTCTCGATAATACCAGCGAAAACGACACAAAGCAGTCTGCCGTCAATTCGTCAGCGATATGGTTTGAACCCGGCACCTTTGAATTACTAAGCACGCTCGCAACACAACACCTAATCCACAGATGCATAAAAAGATATTAAACAACATATAAAATCCCCCCCTCCCCCCTCTTTTTTTCCCTAAACTGCCGTCTCAAGAGTCGATGTCGACTGTAGCGGATTAGTGGATATGCGTATCCATTACTGCCTTTAATAATCACGTAACGCGGCACCTATAACTTCAACAATACGATTCTCGTACCACTGTCCGAATGCCTCGAAAGCAATCCCCCCCCCACCCCCCCCCCCCCCCCCCCCCCTCTCGTCCTTATGTTTGATGATGCAATTTCTGCGTTTCTGTTTTTACATTTGTTGTAACACCGGTGTATTCTGTCTGTTGTAAATTGTTTCTTTCTTCCTCTCGATGCAGCAGCGTGTGCATGACTTTTTTTTTTTTAAACACTCGCGCTCTATCTTCTTTCTTGTTGATGTAACACTCATTATTCTGTCTTCTATTTAGTGTACACCCATGTTTCCATCCTACATTTTCTTTTGTACACTCATGTATCTTTCTTCTTTTCGGTGTACAATCATGTTTCTGTCTATTGTAACAACCAAGTTTTATTTTTATGTAACACTCATGTATCTATCTTCTTTTCGATTAACTCTCGTGTTTATACCTTGTTCTTGATGTAACACTCGTGTGTCTGTCTTTTAAATTGTGTGGCACTCACCTTTCTGTCTCCTTCTGGAGTAACACTCATCTTTCTGTATTGTTCTTGATGTAACATTTATGTGTCTGTCTTCGTAATAATGTAGCACTCATGTTTCTGTCTTGTGTTTGATGTTACAAAGATATTTCTGTCTTGAATTTGTTGTCATACTCTTATCCTTTTTTTTCTTAGTAAACAATCGTGTGCCTGCATTCTACGTTTTGTAATACACGCGTCCCTGTCTTTTTGTGTGAGTCAGTTCTCATAATTTTTGCTACTAGATCGACGCTGGATATAATATCTTTGAGTGAATGTCATGGAAAGTAAAAGCGGTCGGTCTGACGTTGGACCACATCACTCATCGAAAGCTGAGTTGTCTATACAAATATTAATCTAGCATTAGTTGCCCGATGCGACACCGACGTTAATTAAAAGATAATTGTCATAATTTATACCTTTATGTTCAATATATTTGAAGAACATTTTTTTTCTTGAAATACCCACCCTCCCCCTAGAGGCCCTAGCTGAAGATTTGAAACAACATCATCCGATGTCCGATAAAGGTGATCTTTAGCTGAAAAATTAAAATAGAATAACTGACCCAACGCTGACTCAAAGAGTCATACTTTGGATGCCATGAAAACAGAAAACAAATATCAGGTACCCTGACATCCCCGCCATAATGGTTATTTAAGGACACGCTTGGGCGTGGGAAGTAAAATTCACCAGCAAACACCCGTGAGTGATCGCTAGTCTGAATCCTCGATCAGCCTTTTCATTTGTATGCGGCATTCGATTATTTCAGAAAACATGAATGCTTTTCAAGGCAGCATTTTACAAAATGAAGATTATTCTATGCAGTCTTTCTTTGTCAGTTAAGAGGAGAAAGAGAACTCCTAAAAGCTATATTCATCCTCTCTTAATATACAGAAGTGAATCATGAGCAGCTGGTACATTAGTAAAAACTTATTTGGAAACTGCGGAGATGAGGTTTTATAGACGAATGATAAGAACACCATGGAAAGATAAAACGATAAATGAAGATATCTTGAAAGAAACTGACTCACGAAGACAAATAATTGCCTACATCAGAAAGAGAAAATCCTTATTTTTTTGGTAATGTGATAAGAAGGAGAAAACTGGAGCACAGTATGATAGTATGGAAGTTGGACGGGAGAAGCAGCAGAGGACAGATTGAGAGAAAATAAGCTGAACAGCCTAACATCATGGCATAGAAGATCATCTGTGTCAAAGTTTGATTGGAAGTACACGAAACAGAAGGCTGTGGATAGACATGACTACTAACGCCACACTGCATGGACTGTAAGCAGAATAAGGGCCCCATTACACCATAAACTCTTACAATTAGCCGTTCAACGCGAACTATTCAGACTTTAACTGTCAATAACATTGTCACAATGAAAACAAACAATACATTCCTCACAAAACTCACAATATGCATTTAGTGCTTGCTGGTGCAAATCCCTGGCTGAGACTAGCGAATTGTGTTCATCATTTGTTCACAGCACCAGCTATAGCGAGGTGTACATTTACCAAAACCAAGATCGTGACAAGCCTGCGCATATTCCAAATCCACAAGGTAATTATTATTTCCATGTTGACTTTGCTCGTTTGTGAGTTGTGTTAGTGTCAGTGTGTGTGTTTGTGTCTCTGGGGCTGTGAACTTAAAATTTAGAAAAGCGTCAAAATACTGTTTAAATAAATGCTAGAGGAAATACTAGTTACTCAGAACATATTTTTTTTTTTTTTTAAACTCAAACTAAACGTGGTCAGTATAGTCTCCACTAAAACCAGCATCATACACTATGTCAGCAAGTTCTTTCACATATTAGGGGTTACATTAAGGTCATTGAAAAAGTTCTTAGATAACAGCGTTTATGTTTTTTTTTTCTCACTATTGCCTCAAGAAGTCATAGTTGTGTTCTATAAAGCTTTCAGTTTTCCTGTCATTCAACAGTCGAACAAAATGTACGAGTTTATGTGTTGAAATATCAATGAGTTGAGTTTAGCTGAATTGACATCACAGCACTAGGTGCATTCCCATGCGTGCTCTGTCCTTATCTTCAGCAGCCAGAGCAGAGTTCCAATACTAATGGTACCTGTCGTAATCTGGTTATATGTCAGTCTTGCCTTTCATCTGAGTGTAGTGAGCCGGCCACACAGCCTTCCGACTCTTGTTTCTCAGTCATTTCTAATACGTATGATTTTCTATGGCCTGATGTCAAACTGTCCAACATCTTCTCTCTTTGAGTCCTCCTCCTTCCCTCCAGTTTCTCCCATCTCAAAACGCGACAAAAGAATATAGATTGTTCACTTTTAAGGCCCGTAGTTAGTTTCTTCATGTTCAGTTCTTTCAAGACATTTTCATGAGGCTTTCTTTATATGTACATAATGTTTCCATCACTAATGAGGAGGATCTCTCATTCCCACCCTACCCACCCCCACCCCCACCCCGCACTCCACTCCCAACCCAACACACCCAGGTCAATTCCTAAAGGAACCGAACATTTTTTTTTAAACTTCAAAAATGACCTTGGCCTACCTGGCTAACCCAGCCTTAAATGGGTTCTTGGTAAAGTCCTAGAAGTAAAGACTGCCAGCATGATACTGACCACTAGAAGAATGCTGTTCCAAGTTTCTGTCTGGACACACAGTCCGCCCTGAGCTGACCTAAGTTCAGTTTCGTTAGTCTGAACACAAGAGTGGACGCCCCTCCAGTTGGTACACATTGATCTGTTTATTGCTGTTATAACAATCGTACTGTCCAGTCGTCACTCGTGTTACACTTAGTCGTACTAAGGTTCCCTGACAAATACTGTTTCAGAAAACATCACAAGTCATCAACAGGCGTATTTACCTTCCTTTCCGGGCATCACACTTATGCCGATAACTTGAAATAACACATCAGTGACACAGAATGTGTAGTCACTCATCCTTCTTTTCAGGGTCAGTCCATCAACTTGCGATCAGGATTTTTCGAACGTTGTTAACACAACTCTTCATAGCAGTTTTTAACAGTTCATAACAGTTCATCCTCACAGCTTTTTCGAACCTCTGACACTGCTGTCCAAACACCAACTGCCTCTATCTCATTCGTCCTTTAAAACCTTTGTTCCCTTCCCACATAATTTGGTCATGTATCTGTTCAGTCCCCTACGTGAATAAAACTTTTCTTGCTGTACCCGTTTCTCTCAGGCTTGTAACACCACTACGTCATGTCAGGAAACCCATTGGAAATCCCTGGGAAAACCTTCATTACAACCATATCAGCCATCGAGTGGCGACTGATCTATAAAATATAGGTCTAGCCCTATGCGCCCATTAAGTCTGAAGGCGTGGAAAACGGGTCCTTGGTGCTTTAAATAAAAGCCTACCCTGAATAGGGGACACCCACAGGTCACGGGACAGTCTATTTCATTGGGTGGTAGATGAGCTGCATGCAGTCGTGGGACCTAGGCTGCACTCTCTCGTGGGACGTAGGCTGCACTCTCTCGTGGGACGTAGGTCGATTAGGGGTAGGTCCAGTTCTAGATGTTTTGGGGTCGTTAAAATCATTAGAAAGCCGGGAAAGCCAGTCTTACCACCCTCTTAAATATTAGACTGTTCTTTGACGTCATCTCGGGGTCAGATATTAACAAAGCACCGAGTCCTATACTTACTTATTGTACATATTTCAGCCGTGACTTTCCAAGTATGCATCCAGAATCGCTACAAGCTCAGCAAAAAGCTCCGGAAGTTGATGACCTGTGCTCAGCCCACAAATGGTTCGGATCCCAAGCCAGAGTCCATAGTGGTGGACAAGACGTTATTATCTCAGACCAAGGTAGGTTTGTGGTCATCAGACCGAGGTACGTTAGTGGTCATCAGACTGAGGTAGGTTAGTGGTCAGCAGACCGAGGTATGTTAGTGGTCATCAGACTGAGGTAGGTTAGTGGTCAACAGTCTGAGGTAGGTTAGTGGTCAACAGACTGAGGTAGGTTAGTGGTCAACAGTCTGAGGTATGTTAGTGGTCATCAGACTGAGGTAGGTTAGTGGTCAACAGTCTGAGGTATGTTAGTGGTCATCAGACTGAGGTAGGTTAGTGGTCATCAGACCAAGGTAGGTTAGTGGTCATCAGACTGAGGTAGGTTAGTGGTCATCAGACCAAAGTAGGTTAGTGGTCAACAGTCTGAGGTAGGTTAGTGGTCATCAGACCAAGGTAGGTTAGTGGTCAACAGACTGAGGTTGGTTAGTGGTCATCAGACCAAGGTAGGTTAGTGGTCAACAGACCAAGGTAGGTTAGTGGTCAACAGACTGAGGTAGGTTAGTGGTCAACAGACCGAGGTAGGTTAGTGGTCAACAGACTGAGGTAGGTTAGTGGTCATCAGACTGAGGTAGGTTAGTGGTCATCAGACCAAGGTAGGTTAGTGGTCAACAGACTGAGGTAGGTTAGTGGTCAACAGACTGAGGTAGGTTAGTGGTCAACAGACTGAGGTAGGTTTGTGGTCAACAGACCAAGGTAGGTTAGTGGTCAACTGACCAAGGTAGGTTAGTGGTCATCAGACCAAGGTAGGTTAGTGGTCATCAGACCAAGGTAGGTTAGTGGTCAACAGACTGAGGTAGGTTAGTGGTCATCAGACTGAGGTAGGTTAGTGGTCATCAGACCAAGGTAGGTTAGTGGTCAACAGTCTGAGGTAGGTTAGTGGTCAACAGACTGAGGTAGGTTAGTGGTCATCAGACCAAGGTAGGTTAGTGGTCAACAGTCTGAGGTAGGTTAGTGGTCAACAGACCAAGGTAGGTTAGTGGTCATCAGACCAAGGTAGGTTAGTGGTCAACAGACTGAGGTAGGTTAGTGGTCAACAGACCAAGGTAGGTTAGTGGTCAACAGACTGAGGTAGGTTAGTGGTCAACAGACCAAGGTAGGTTAGTGGTCAACAGTCTGAGGTAGGTTAGTGGTCATCAGACCAAGGTAGGTTAGTGGTCAACAGACTGAGGTAGGTTAGTTGTCATCAGACCAAGGTAGGTTAGTGGTCATCAGACCAAGGTAGGTTAGTGGTCATCAGACCAAGGTAGGTTAGTGGTCAACAGACTGAGGTAGGTTAGTGGTCAACAGACTGAGGTAGGTTAGTGGTCAACAGACTGAGGTAGGTTAGTGGTCATCAGACCAAGGTAGGTTAGTGGTCATCAGACCAAGGTAGGTTAGTGGTCAACAGACTGAGGTAGGTTAGTGGTCATCAGACCAAGGTAGGTTAGTGGTCAACAGACTGAGGTAGGTTAGTGGTCATCAGACCAAGGTAGGTTAGTGGTCATCAGACCAAGGTAGGTTAGTGGTCAACAGACTGAGGTAGGTTAGTGGTCAACAGACCAAGGTAGGTTAGTGGTCAACAGTCTGAGGTAGGTTAGTGGTCATCAGACCAAGGTAGGTTAGTGGTCAACAGACTGAGGTAGGTTAGTTGTCATCAGACCAAGGTAGGTTAGTGGTCATCAGACCAAGGTAGGTTAGTGGTCATCAGACCAAGGTAGGTTAGTGGTCAACAGACCGAGGTAGGTTAGTGGTCAACAGACTGAGGTAGGTTAGTGGTCAACAGACTGAGGTAGGTTAGTGGTCATCAGACCAAGGTAGGTTAGTGGTCATCAGACCAAGGTAGGTTAGTGGTCAACAGACTGATGTAGGTTAGTGGTCATCAGACCAAGGTAGGTTAGTGGTCAACAGACTGAGGTAGGTTAGTGGTCATCAGACCAAGGTAGGTTAGTGGTCATCAGACCAAGGTAGGTTAGTGGTCAACAGACTGAGGTAGGTTAGTGGTCAACAGACTGAGGTAGGTTAGTGGTCAACAGACCAAGGTAGGTTAGTGGTCAACAGACTGAGGTAGGTTAGTGGTCAACAGACCAAGGTAGGTTAGTGGTCAACAGACTGAGGTAGGTTAGTGGTCAACAGACTGAGGTAGGTTAGTGGTCAACAGACTGAGGTAGGTTAGTGGTCAACAGTCTGAGGTAGGTTAGTGGTCAACAGACTGAGGTAGGTTAGTGGTCAACAGACTGAGGTAGGTTAGTGGTCATCAGACCGAGGTAGGTTAGTGGTCATTAGACCGAGGTAGGTTAGTGGTCAACAGACTGAGGTAGGTTAGTGGTCAACAGACCGAGGTAGGTTAGTGGTCAACAGTCCGAGGTAGGTTAGTGGTCAACAGACCGAGGTAGGTTAGTGGTCATCAGACCGAGGTAGGTTAGTGGTCAACAGTCTGAGGTAGGTTAGTGGTCAACAGACTGAGGTAGGTTAGTGGTCAACAGACCGAGGTAGGTTAGTGGTCAACAGACTGAGGTAGGTTAGTGGTCAACAGACCGAGGTAGGTTAGTGGTCAACAGACTGAGGTAGGTTAGTGGTCAACAGACCAAGGTAGGTTGTGATCACTTTGATCAGTCCTGTTTATCTTTACAGTTTTCCCTACTTCTACAGTTCTTTACTTCACTACTTTACTTAATCAGTCTTCACTTTGCAATTTTTTGTTACATTATAACACTTCATTTTACAATACTTAGTTTTATAACGCTTTACTTTCTACTACTTTAAATTATTCATTCTACTTTTCAATTCTTTATGTTATGATACTTTAGGGTACTTCACAATTGTCACTTTACAATATTTTGTTTTAGAATAGTTTACCATTCAAATCTTAGCTTTACAAT